TTCTTTCTTTCTTATCTGATGGTTTAAAACCTCAGACTGGTGCCTGGCTTGCCTTTCTGTCCCTACTTCACTTACCCACTGGGTCCTAGTGGCCTCCTGGGCTAGCAGCTTGGCATGCGGTGTCCCCACCTCCCCCGGGCCGGGACTAATGGTGGTTTAACCTCCAGGCAGGAGCTGCCCCCGAGGCCGAGGTCCGGCTGAGCCCCGCAGAGGAGGCCCACCTGCGGCTGGAGAGGATCTTCACCGCGTCTGTAATGCCACCTCCCGTGTGTGGTGCCCCAGGCCCTGGCCTCCTCCTGCCTGAGGCTGGCGGCCAGAGTGTTTGTGTGTCTGTGTGTGTGTGTGTGCCAGTGTGTGGATATGGGAGCACCTGCCCATGGAAGAGTGCTCCCTGCGTCCTGGGGACCTCACAGTGGGCTTCTCACTTCAAGAAAGGAGAGAAGGCCCCTGTGGTGGGTCTGAGCCCAGTGACGCCTGCTCCTCCAGGGAGCCCAGTGCCTGTGGGAGGGACCCCTCTTGGCTGGGGATCCAACCCCCTTTTCTGGCCCTGTCCTCTTGCCATGAGGACGTCTTGGTGCCAAGGTCTGGTGGGTGTCGAGACGGGAGCTGACACTCCCCTTTTTTGATGCCCCGGCTCTCCAGACCCAGGGGGGCCTGTTAACTCCTTGTCCATTTCTAAGAGGCAAGGTCCAAGGCCTGGCTGACTCCCCTCCCTCTCCAGAAAGGCCTTTAAGTGACCAGCTAGAGGCCGAGAGGCCAAGGTGCCTTATACTCGGGCAGTTGGCATGTGGACCCGGATGGGGTGATGCCTCCACGTGCCATGGGTAGTGTGCCCGCCTGGGAGTGGCGTGGTGGTTCCGTGGGGGTTTGAAGAAGGGTCCTAGACTTGGGGCTACTGGTGGTCTTGCTGTCTGAGAAGTGCAGTGATGACATTTCTGAAGGGCAGCCTTTGGGGGCGGGGGGGCGTGTATGGAGGCCAGGGATAGCCCTGTCCTGGGGTCTGAGGGCTACAGGGGAGCTAGGCTGGAAAATGCCCTATAGATAAGGCAAGGGGCTCCCAGGGGAACAAGGCCCTGGGTATGGTGAGGGGGCCTGGCCTGGCAGCACACAGAAGAGGAGCCTAATTCAGAATGGACTAGATGGCCAGCTTGGGAGAGACTGTGGCCAGGATGGCACAGTCCTGTCCTGCCCTGGGCTCAGTGCACCTGCCCGGGCCAGCAACCCCCCTCCTGGTGCTAAGCAGCTCCCACCATCTCCCACCCGTACCCCACACCTTGGGCAGCCCGAGAGTGCCCGCCCACTTGGCCCAGGGCGCCTGCGGAAGGGGACGTGTGGATGGTCTGCTTGTCTTCACCCCTCTTCTTCTCTCTTCTTTGCTTGCTGCTGGTAGCTGGACCCTGAGGCCGCCTCTCCTGCCCACAGCCAGGTAGGGTGTTCCTGTCCCCCTCAGGAGCCCTCCACTTCCTCCGGTGACCACCTGCCACCCCCGGCCTGTACCTGGGCCGGCGTCTGTGCTCGGGCCTCATGCTGGAGTGTAAGGGCTCCTTCCCCTTCTGGTCCCCACCTGCTGTCCGGCAGGATCCTCCCGGGAGGCAGTGCTAAGTGTTGGAGATGGGGCAGCTCTGTGTCAGGCCCTTGGGGAGAGTCTGGACTCAGTGTCCCCACTTGAGTTTGGCTTCTGTGGTACATGGTGCTTAGCCACTGGAGACCCAGGGTTTTGGTTTCTGGGTGTTTCAGTTCTGCTTGCTCTGGGTAGCTGAAAAGGCTCAATTCCAACCCCTTACCCCCACCCCCAGTCCCCATCCAAAACCTGAAGATGCAGCTTTCTCTGTCTCCACCTGCTGGGCAATGTGGGAAACCCACCTTCGAATTAGCTCTGAAGGAGTTAGTTATAGGCCATGGCCCTTTGATGTCTGTCACCTTATACATCGATCTTCAAACACTTGACTTGCAGAACGTGCCCATTCAAGACAAAGGTTTCGCCTGTCTCACGATTTTCAGAAGACAACACATACAAAATAATTTTGTTTTATAAAGTTACTTTTCTTCAAATATAACTAACCATTTTTTAATTTTCTTCACTTAATTTAAGCTATAGACACCCCGTAGTGATCCTCCTAATTGAAGGGTGAATTCACTGCCATGATTGCCAGAGGCCGGGGACCACTGGGGTAGCCCGCCTCCTCACTCCGTAGCTGGGAAGGGCAGTCAGCGAGGGAGAGAGTTCCCTGAAGCCGGAATCCAATCTGGGAGCAGAACCCCCATCTCTCTTTCAGAGCTGAGGATCCTCAGAGCGCGGGGTGCAGCCGAATGGCTGCTTCATGCCATGGGGGGCGGTGACCATCCCCCCAGCAGGGCCCCTGGATGACCTATTGCCCCTTTGCTCACACACAACTAAAGGAGCCTGAAGGGTCTGTCTCCTGTTTGCCAAGCTCCCCCTGGCACCATTCCTGCCCAGCCCAAGTCGTCTCATGGAGTGCCAGGCTTGGCAGCCCCACACCCTGCAAATGCTTCTTTCTGATTGGTGACCACTTGGGGCCTCAAGCGGCTCCCAGCCCCTCTGTACCCGTTCTGGTGTCCATCTGTGTGGCATGCAAGCGTCTTCCCATCTCTGGCCCTGCCTTGTATGGCCTTAGCATGTCCACGTAGGTCTGTGTACCTCCCGCCTTCTGAGGAGGCAGGGAGTAGGAGCCGCGAGGCTGGCGTGGGCACCTGGGCATTGCCCCTGCCCCGGGGAGCATCCTCTGCAGGGGCAGGCCAGGCCGAGGCTAGGACTCCGGCCCCACTTATCCTTCTGCACTGCGAGGTCCTCAGGAGCCACTCCCGCCCCAGGCCTTGAGGAAATGCCCTTCCCGGGCTTGGTAAGGGAGGGCCCATCGCGATGCGGGAGAAGCTGGGCCTGAGAGGTCACAGCAGCTGTGGCCCAGGGAGGGCTGTGGGCTTAGGATACTAATCCCACCGGCTTCGCAGGGAGGTGGGGGGAAGGGCAGCTGAGGGTGGAACCTACTGATTTGTTTTCCAGGGATCGCTCTCTCCTGGACACATGCTCCCTGTGCCACTGGCCCTCAGGACACTAGCTCTGTGTCCTTGTCCTCCAGGCTCCCCAGGACCACCACCCCCTCCTGGCTTCCCCACCTTTTCCCTCTGACACCGCTGACGTGCCTGTTCTGTGTCTGCCAACCAACTGCGCCCCTCCCACCCTCGCCCTCGCCCAGTGGCTCCTCTGGAAGCCCTTCCCCTGAGTACCTCCTCTCTCCCATTGTCCTTGCCTCCGTTTTCCAGAACAGAGTCTAACTATGTATCCTTCCCCTCCCTCTGCCAGGTGAAGACAGAGGAGCAGATTGCAGCGGAGGAGGCCTGGCACGAGACAGAGAAGGTGTGGCTGGTCCATAAGGATGGCTTCTCTCTGGGTGAGCCTGGGGGCGCCCAGGGGCAGGTGCCCGGGCCTTTGGGGTTCAGGACGGGTGCTTTCTGCATCTGGGAAGGGCTGGGTGGTGAGCAAGGAGAGGCCGGACCCTAAAGGGCCCAAAGAGGGCAGCAAAGCCTTCCCAGGCCCGCGCCTGACCCTCCGCGCTGCTCCACAGCCAGTCAGCTCAAATCCCAGGAGCTCAGCCTGCCCGAGGGGAAGGTGCGCGTGAAGCTAGACCACGATGGCGCCATCCTGGATGTGGATGAGGACGACGTGGAGAAGGTTGGCAGGAGGCTGGTGGAGGGCACAGGGGGTGGGCTGAGCTCCCCCCCCGCCTGTCCCTTTGCACAGGCCAACGCCCCCTCCTGCGACCGTCTGGAAGACCTGGCCTCGCTGGTGTACCTCAATGAGTCCAGCGTGGTGCACACTCTGCGCCAGCGCTACGGCGCTAGCCTGCTGCACACGTACGCCGGCCCCAGCCTGCTGGTCCTCAGCCCCCGGGGGGCCCCCGCTGTGTACTCCGAGAAGGTGTGATGCCCCCTGAACCACCCAGCCACTACCGACCCCACCTTTTCTGGCCCTGCCCCTGCCCCTTGGCATCCCACTGCGCCCTGTCCGCTCTCTCAGTTGACCTTGGGAAGAGCTGTCATTTCAAGGGGTGAGGACAGAAAGCCCTTCCCCAGCCTCTAACAGAGGCCGGAACGTCGCGAGGGTCTGCATTTCCATGCCTGGCCTTCGCCTTGGGATCCCTCTGCTGCCCTGGAGTGAAAGGCCCAGAGAGATGTGGACCTTGGGGGCGAGGGGTGTCTGAGTGGACCAGCTAAGAGCCTATCCATCCTCCCCACCCCTCTCCTGCCCAAGGTGATGCACATGTTCAAGGGGTGTCGGCGGGAGGACATGGCCCCCCACATCTATGCCGTGGCCCAGACGGCATACAGGGCAATGCTGATGAGCCGTCAGGACCAGTCCATCATCCTCCTGGGCAGCAGTGGCAGTGGCAAGACCACCAGCTGCCAGCACCTGGTGCAGTACCTGGCCACCATCGCAGGCACCAGCGGGAACAAGGTGTTTTCTGGTGAGGCAGGGGCAACCGAGGGACTGAGAATGGGCTTGGGAAAGAGGGTGGGCACGGAGGCCCCTGCCAGGTCCCAGCGTTTTTCTCCCTGGCCTCCCCGTGCCCCGGCTCTCCTGACGGCCCCTGGGCCTCTCTCCTCCAGTGGACAAGTGGCAGGCTCTGTACACCCTCCTGGAAGCCTTTGGGAACAGCCCCACCATCATGAACGGCAATGCCACTCGCTTCTCCCAGATCCTCTCCCTGGACTTTGACCAAGCTGGCCAGGTGGCCTCGGCCTCCATCCAGGTGAGGGGACACTCAGGGTGGTAGGCGATTGGCCACCCGGTTTCATGCCCTAGGAATCAGGCTCTCCCGTGTCCCATTTTCCTGGGATTCGACCCCAACAAAACGGACCCTGGCCCTGGGGCTGGCCTGCTCCAAGCCTCCCCCATTCTGTTCCCTGTGCCTGCTGCCCTGGGTGGGGTCCAGCTTGGCTTCCTGCCCAAGCCCCCCCCTGCCCCCGCCGTCCCGTGCTCAGGGCCTTCTCTCGGGCAGTGTCACCCAGGGAAGACTGGCCTGTCAGTAAAGGTAGGCCCCTCCTTGCTGAATGAAATCTCTCACCACAACGTGTCCAGCTTCCCACGGAGGCTGTAGGCAGAGGGCAGTGTCCTCCTGTGAGCTGGGCCTGTCTCCATCCCTCCCCCTCCTCCCCACCCCCCACCCCGACACACACACCCTGGTTTCTGCCCGGGTTTGCCCCAGGGGTGCTCTGGCCTCTGGTCAAGCACCTGGAGATTAACCAGCGGCCGCTGGCTCCGTCGGCCCAGTCCTCTCTGCCGTGGGTGGGAGATGCTTTTCCTGGCACCTCTCTCCTTTGCCCACACCCTTCATGCTCCGCACAGACGATGCTTCTGGAGAAACTGCGCGTGGCTCGGCGCCCGGCCAGCGAGGCCACCTTCAATGTCTTCTACTACCTGCTGGCCTGCGGGGATGGCACCCTCAGGTGAGACGGGACAGAGGGGACAGGAGGGAGCTTTGGGCTCCAGCCCCGAGAGTTCCTAGACCTGGCCACTCGGTTGCATCCCGTCCCGTTTGCGTATCGCCAGGCCCTGAGGATGACAAGATGAATGAGCCGAGGCCCTGCCCGGCAGGAGCTCCCTTTGCCTGGGCACAGGGGTCTGGTTATATGTGAGGGGCACAGTTAGCCCTTCAGTGTTCTCGGTGCTTAGCTAGGATCTCTGCTAAGCCAGCCCTAGCGAGAAAGCCCCCTGAGGTACAGGCCGTCAGGAGCTGGCCTGCAGTCACACAGCTAGTAGGGGGCTGAGCCGTTCCACACGGGGACCGTGAGCCTAACCCCTTCCCAGTGCCCTCCCTCTAAGCTGGCCCTCCTGCCCCACGTTAGCTCCTCTGCCAGGCGCTTCCCTGTAGGCCTTCGGACTTGCTGTCGGTGTTCACTGACGAGAGGATAAATGATGAGGCTGAGCCGCAGCCCGTGGGCACTTCCTCTTTAGATCTTCTTGTAACCGAGGGCGCAGTCCCTGTCCTGCTAGACTCGCCCTTCAGGCAGGTTTCCTGCCCCCCTCCCAGGGGTCTGGCTTGACACGCTGTACCAGGGCATCTCTGGTGACCTGTGCTGGGGAGACTGGTACCCTGACCAGGCATCCAACTGATGAAGAAAGGCGGTAGCAGCTGGCCTGGCTGCAGGGCATGATGAGCCGACAGAACTGAGACTGGAATCTGAGTCTGTCTGTCTCCACACTGGTAGGGAGATGGCCTTGGCATAGGGACCAAGCACTGTGCTGATGCCTCATTTGTGCCCCTAGGACAGAGCTCCACTTGAACCACTTGGCAGAGAACAATGTGTTCGGGATTGTGCCACTGGCCAAGGTGAGGGGTCCTGTGGGGACTGGGTTGACAGCCCTGGGCGTTGGGGGTAAAAGAAGCCTCAAATGCCTAGCCGGTGTGGCTCAGCTGGTTGAGTGTTGTCCCTCCTTTACACCGAAAGTTTCCTGGTTCGGTTCCCAGTCAGGGCGGGTATGGGAAGGCAACCAATCGATGTTTCTCTCTCTCTCTCTTCCCCTTCTAAAGTCAATAGCATGCCCTGGGGGGAGGATTAAAAATAATAAGAAGAAGCAGCCTCCAATGGATTGCAGTGCCCATGGGAATAGCAGGAGCCCGGCTCCAGCTGGGTGGCTCTCCCCTAGCTTTGCCCTCCCTGAGGCATGGGGGTCTGCTGCGGGGGGAGGGGCAGCCCCTCTGAGATCCGGTGCCAGTGTGCCCCTCTGTCCCTGTAGCCCGAGGAGAAGCAGAAGGCAGCTCAGCAGTTCAGTAAGCTACAGGCGGCCATGAAGGTGCTGGGCATCTCCCCCGATGAGCAGAAAGCCTGCTGGCTCATCCTGGCTGCCATCTACCACCTGGGGGCTGCAGGAGCCACCAAAGGTAATCTGCCCAGGGCCCCCACAGTCTGGCTTGTCGCCCAGAGACCTTTGGGGGACCCTCCCACTCCCAGTTTGTCCTTGCCCAGCACAGACTCATCTGTTATCAGACACCCCTCTTTTACTGCGCCTCTTCCCAGCCCCCCACATCAGAGCAGAAGGCTCCCGACACCTGGAGAAGCATCTCGGCCCATGGTGGCCGGAGGCCTGGATTTAGGTGGCCGTGAGCGGGAGCTCTGTGAAAGCAGGGGGTTGGGGCTTGGAGGCCGATGGGGAAGAGAAGGGCCCCGACTCAGAGCAGTCCCCTGGAATAACTCTCCTTCTTGTTCCCTTTCTGACAGAGGCCCTTGAGGAGCAAGAGGGTAACTGACCTTGGCCCCTCCCTGGGGTGTGGGGCCCCCTGGCCCCCTCTTGGTGCTTGCCCTGGGCTCTCTCTGGGGGCTGGGCTTGTTCTGTTGTAATGCGGGGACTGGCCTGGGAGAAACCTCTGGGTTGAGGTGGCGAGGGCAGCGGCTGGCGGTGGGCTTCTGGGAGTCCCCAAAATAGCTGCTCCTATCTGTTTTGCATCCAGACCCTGGAACCTCTCACGGCGCCCTCTTTGGGCTCAGGTGGGCTAGGGTGGGCCTGCTTCCGGGGGTTTCCTAAGGCCAGTTTTCCCCGAGTCCACCCTTCTCTCCACGGGTTTGGTAGCAGGTTTCTTACTCTTGCATGTCAGGGTGAAGGCCACTAGGGGGCAGCAAGCACCGTGGTAACCAATGGGCTGCAATTTCGGCACTTGTGCTGGGGGCTTGTGAATGGCTAGGGCAGTGATGACGAACCTTTGAGCTTGGCGTGTCAGCATTTTGAAAAACCTAACTTAACTCTGGTGCCGTGTCACATATAGAAATTTTTGATATGTGCAACCATAGTAAAACGAAGAGTTATATTTTTGATATTAATTTTCTATATTTAAATGCCATTTAACAAAGAGAAATCAACCCAAAAAATGAGTTTGCGTGTCACCTCTGACGCGCATGTCATAGGTTCGCCATCACTGGGCTGGAGCTTGGCCTGGCTTGGAAACTCCGCTGCCTTCCTCTGAGATGACGCTGGTGGGCAGGCACTCGAGCACCTCTTCACCTCTTCCTCCTCCAGTTTAGGGAAAGGGGAGCCTCTCATAGCACCCAGGGCTTCGGCCTCATCTCCTTCGGGATGTGAAGGGCTGCAGGCTGCTCAGCAGGAGCGAGGAAGCGCTGGGGGTGGGGGGTGGATACACGGAAGAACCGGCATCTGGGTGTTAGGCTCCTTATGATCCCAGCAGGTGGCATCTCTGCCAAAAAGGAAGCAGGCTCCGTTTTAAAGAAGCTATTCCCCAAACCGTAGGCGGCCAGGCGGGCGGATGGGTGGCCTGCTGTGTCTTAAAGAAGTTCCTTCATTCTGAGGAGGTGACAAACCCCAGTTTCCTGTACCCAGCCCTACTCAGTGCTGCCTGCAGGTGGAGCGAGAGCTCTGGGTGTGCAGCACATGGACCTACCTTGTGAGCAGGGTCTGTTACCTCCTCAGAGCTTCCAGGGGGACTGGGGCCTTGGAGGCTGAGGGGAAAGAGAAGTGTGTGTGTGTGTGTGTGTGTGTGTGTGTGTGTGTCTGTCTGTCTTTGGAGGGTCTTGTGTATGTGTGTCAGTGTGATTACATACTCCTGTGAGATTGTGAGTGCGCGCGTGCGTGTGTGTCCCCGAGCCTGGTTGTGTTTTCCTGCCTGCTCGTCCTCACAAACCCCCACCCTCCGCCGCCCGTCCCCGTGGGCCTGGCGGGCTCCGTTGATGACTGTTTGCTAACATGCTGTTTTTCTTTGCATGCTGCATGCTGGTCCTTTGCCTTACAGAAGCTGCTGAAGGTAAAACCTTGTTTCTTGTTAGCTTTCCCTAATTGCCGTGATTAGACACATGTTGGCTGAGGCACTTCTGTCTGCGTGGGCTGCTTTCTTTCCTCTGAGGCTTCCTCACGTCCCCACTGCTGGGCCATGGGTGGGTGTCCCGTGGTCTCCCCTGGCGGATGCCTGGAGGTAAGAGGGAGGGTCCTGATGCGTTCATGGAAGGGAAAGCGTTGTACTCCCTCCGGACCTGCCCCCCGAGGCACAGGTGGATCTGGGTGCTCATCGTAGGTGGGCGCTGGCTCATCCTCTGACTGCATTTCCCCAATTTGGTACCCGGGATCCAAGCCCTAAAAGGATGTTGGAAGCTGACAGGATGCCCTCTGGTGGCAGCAGTGTGTATTACCTCCTCCTTTAGGACCTGCTCGTTCTCTCCACCCCCCAGGGGCACAGGAAGCTGGCAGTTGCTGGCTGCCCTGGTTTAGCCTGAAGCCCTCTGGTGTCATCTGGGCTGGTTTTGCCTCTGGAAGATGCCTACTCCCCAGTCCAATGGGAACAGGGAGCCAAAGGGCATCAAATGGCCTCAGGAGGAAGACCCAAGGTACCAGATGGTTCTTTCTACCCCGTAGCTGGGCGCAAGCAGTTTGCCCGCCACGAGTGGGCCCAGAAAGCCGCGTACCTGTTGGGCTGCAGCCTGGAGGAGCTCTCCTCGTCCATCTTTAAGCACCAGTACAAGGGTGGCACCCTGCAGCGCTCCACCTCCTTCCGCCAGGGCCCGGAGGAGAGCGGCCTGGGAGATGGGACAGGTACCCTGAGCCCCTTGGCTGGTGAATGTCATCGGGAGGCTTCACCCAGGGCTCACTGCTCTCTCTGCCATGGGGAGACTGCTGGGGTGACTAGAACGTCCATCAGGGGGAAAGGAAGCCCCAAGACCCCTGCTGACTTGGCCCCGGGTAGGGAGGGAGCATACCCGGGTGGGGATCTCCGGGAGCCGGAGACACGTCTGACCCTCTTGCCCCACAGGCCCCAAACTGAGTGCGCTGGAGTGCTTAGAGGGCATGGCGTCCGGCCTCTACAGCGAGCTCTTCACCCTTCTTGTCTCTCTGGTGAACAGGTGAGTGCCGAGCGGGAGGGCCCAGGAGCTCTCGGGCTTCCTGCCTTGACCAAGATGGACTAGAAGCCTCTGTGCTGCGTGATTGCCGAGGCAGAGCCATGTTCCACCAGCAGATGGCTCTGTGTCCTTAGGGGCCAGTGATGGCGAACCTATGACACGCGGGTCAGAGGTGACACGCGAACTCATTTTTTTGGTTGATTTTTTTCTTTGTTAAATGGCATTTAAATATATAAAATAAATATCAAAAATATAAGTCTTTGTTTTACTATGGTTGCAAATACCAAAAAATTTCTGTATGTGACACAGCAGCAGAGTTAAGTTAGGGTTTTTCAAAATTCTGACACGCCGAGCTCAAAAGGTTCGCCATCACTGTTCTAGGCCAAGGGAGGCACATCCTCCCCACCGGGGCGTTGGGCACGCACGCGCACAGGATGGATGGGAGCTGGCTTGGGGCAGGGCAGGGCTGCCGGTGGGGCCTGTTCAGTGGTCCTGCCCTCGCCAGGCTGACCCAGCCTCTCCCTGTGAAGGGCTCTCAAGTCCAGCCAGCACTCCCTCTGCTCTATGATGATTGTGGACACTCCGGGCTTCCAGAACCCTGAGCAGGGCGGGGCGGCCCGAGGAGCCTCCTTTGAGGAGCTGTGCCACAACTACGCCCAGGACCGGCTGCAGGGGCTCTTCCACGAGCGCACCTTTGTGCAGGAGCTGGAAAGATACAAGGAGGTAGTGCTCGACCTGGGCTTGGCCTGCCCCGTCCCTCCAGGCCTCACCCTCTGGCCTTGGCCCCTCAGGGAGGGCATCTGTGGGTGAGGGGACGAACCACCTTCCCCGCTGGCGGCTCCTTCCCAGCTTCTACGCTCTTGTCATTTCTGCCCACCGGTGCTCTCTGCACTGGGCCTCTTTTCCTGCCCAGGCTACATTCTTACTTTGTGGGGTTTGCTCCCCAAGAACTAAAGATGCATTCAGGGTCCCAGGAGCCCTTTCTCGCCCACCTTTGAGGCGCCACCTAAGCCCTGCGATCGCCACTGGGTGTCGGGCATGGCCCTCCCTGTCTCCTGACCTGTTAAGACGGTGATTGATCCTTTGGGGGCCCTTCACAAAAGGGGGTCCTGGATGAGACGAGATCTAGAAATCCTCCCTCATGTGGAGGTGAGGGATCTTGATCCTGGGGAGGATATTTATCGGGGATCAGAGAAGATTCAGGAGGAAAATGACAGTTGTCTTCAAGTGTCTCAGGGGCGAGTGTGAAACTGGAAGGCTTACTCCCCATAGTCTACTCAGTGGGTGTGCATAACGGAAATCGGTGACTAGCTCAGTGTGAAAGGAGGTTAGAAGAGTTTTAGTCGCCCTGGCACGAGGTGCCTTGGGAGGTAGTGAGCATGGTCACTCGGGCTGCTAGAGGGGCGCTCCTGGGCGGGACAGGAGGTCAGACTTGCTGACCGCCTCGCCTGCTCATAGAGCTGCGCCCACCCATGGCCCGGTGCTCACTACGCTCTGCCTTCCTTCCCAGGAGAACATCGAGGTGGCGTTTGACGACTTGGAGCCGGCCACGGACGATTCTGTTTCTGCCGTGGACCAAGCCTCCCATCAGTCCCTGGTAGGAGTTCCCGCGAGGCCCTGGGCCGGTCTCCTCTCTCCTTTCCCATTCCTCTTCCTCAGCAGGACCCTCCCAGTGGTGCCCCTGGGTGCTGAGGCCGGGGGGAGGGGGCAGCAATCAGGCCCAGACACCGAGCACTTTAGAGCTATGGTCCCTGCCCCTCCCTCACCCCTCAGCCAGTTTGGCCAGGAAGGTGGCACTTTCTTCTGCCCTGGTGTAATGGGGAGCCTCAGCCCCTGGGTGTCAGAGCCAGACAGGAAGGTGTACGTCCTCTCTCACCAGCCGGGCTTAGGCCCCCTGTTCTGTGACTGGCTGAGGCTCAGGTCCTCCTAGGTGGCGAGGGTCTGGGGGACCCAAAGGACATAGTCATTCCCTCCCATTGTCCCCAAAAAGAAGACTGATGCGCCTGGCAGAGTGGAGTGAAGAGGCAGCATTGCACCCCAACAGGGAAATAGCGCCCAGCTATAGACGCCCACTGAGGGCCATGTGGATATGATCTCCCCGCCCCTTGGGATGGGTGGGCTCTGTCACCCTTGGGACTAGTGTCTTGGGCACCTTATTGCCTGGGGACTGGCTGGCCTGCAGTGCACTTGGCATTTGGTGATGATCTCCAATTAGGGAAGTCACCTGAGGTGCTTTACTGGAGAACCGACATTTTTGCCAGGCTTGCTGATCTCCCCTCGGCTTCGAGTCCTGTCTCCCTCTCCTTCTTCCTTGTGGGAAGGCCCCCGTTGGCTCGCAAGGGAGTGGGGAAGCGGCTTTCCCTGACCCCCGGGCTCCCGAGGTGGCCTCCCTCCAGTACCTTTGCCATTCCCACGAGTATGAGGAAGTCAGTCCGTGTGGCTTAGGAGCAGCAGTGGGTCAGGCAGTGTATTTGGATGGGGGTTGGCCGTTCTTTCCTGTCTTTGCTCTTCCTGTCTGATGGGCCTTGGCATCGGGCGGTTGCACCCTTGGGGATGAGGGCCCCTCCGTGCCCAGCCGGCCCCTCGCCATCTGATGACTTCATTGCTCATTCGTGCTGGCAGATCTGGCCACTCTGGGACCGTATTGCTCATCAGTCCTTGGTCCCCTCCTGGTAATCACACTGACTCCCTTGGGCATCTTCAGGGAGGAGAGGTAGGCAGCTGGGGTCCAGGAGGGAAGTGGCATTTCTCTTTGATCTCTTGTCCCCAGTCCCTAAAGGCCAGGCCAGAATGGGTGTGGGGAAAGTTCAGTCCTTCTTGCTTGAGGAAGACTTGGAAACTCCATTGAAAAGATGCCCTCGGTCCAGATGTGGCCACAGATATAGTTTGTTTGGCTTACATGGGGCATTAGAAATCAGAATTCAGTATTTCCATGTGCTCTGGAAAAACTGGAGGATTTACCAATTCTAGGCCAACATTCTTGCAGGACAGCAGTTGGCGGCTGCTGAGTGGTGGCTGTTCGCTTTCGGTGGGGACACCTGGTCTCCAGCCAGCCTCCATCTGCCCATTTGGGCCTTCACGGCCACTAGGTCACTTGTCGTAGGCTCTTCACACTTGAGTTTATGACTCTGCAATGACCCCCCTGCAGTGCCCTGGGTGCGCCTCGCTCAGGTGAGCCCACAGCTGTTACTCACTGACAGCTTCCTTTAGGCCACGCGCTGGGCTCAGAGGTGATGCCCAGGGAGTGACTGCAGCATGAGGCCCTCGCAAACCCCACGTGACCTGCGAGAGGAAGAGGATGGAGGAGAGCCTCTGGGTGTCAGAAGCCTTCAGTCTTTGGTGACTTTGGACACGAGTCCTGGGAGTCATAGTTTGCCGTGGGCTTCTTCCTCTGATCTCTGTCTGGTCTCCTCTTTTTCCTCTCTGCCCACCTGCTCCACAAGGTGTCAGCAGTGAGGGGCGGGAGCGGCTGTGTGTGTGCGGTGTGCGTGTGTGCGTGTGTGCGTGTGTACGTGTGCAGCATATTGATCGTGCGTGGTTAGGGACTGGGCGCTGGCTCCGTTCCCACAGCTCCATGTGACACTGGGACTTCTGCGCTTCTCCATAGGTCCGCTCACTGGCCCGCACAGACGAGGCCCGGGGCCTGCTGTGGCTATTGGAGGAGGAGGCCCTGGTGCCGGGGGCCACTGAGGATGCCCTCCTGGAGCGCCTTTTCTCCTACTATGGCCCCCAGGAAGGTGACAAAAAAGGTAGGTGGCACCCCTGGAGGGCAGCTCCTCTACTTCCTCTCCAGGGGACCCACCTCTATGGGTCCAGGTGGCACTGCCTAGGGCAGGGGTGGGCAAACTTTTCGACTTGAGGGCCTCAATGGGTTCTTAAACTGGACCGGAGGGCCGGAACAAAAGCATGGATGGAGTGTTTGTGTGAACTAATATAAAGGGTACGGTCTCTTTTTTTGTTAGTTTTATTTATTTCAAACGGGCCGGATTCGGCCCACGGGCTGTAGTTTGCCCACGGCTGGCCTAGGGGCTCCCTGAGTCCCTGGGCTTTGTGGAGCCGGTGCCCTGATGGTCTGAACCTGGCGTCTTCCACCCTCAGGCCAAAGCCCCCTCCTGCGCAGCAGCAAACCACGCCATTTTCTCCTGGGCCACAGCCATGGCACCAACTGGGTGGAGTACAATGTGGCTGGCTGGCTGAGCTACACCAAACAGAACCCGGCTACCCAGAATGCCCCCCGGCTCCTGCAGGACTCCCAGAAGTAAGAGTACCACTCACTCTGCCCCTGTCCCACCCCGAAAGGCTGGTTTGGGCCCCCTGGTCAGAGGCCTCCCCTCCAGCAGGGTAGATACCCTCTGCTTCCTAAGAGGCAATAGCCAAGGCTAGTTGAGAGCTTGGGAGTGGCCTCCTGGAGTAGAGGTGGGGACCAGGCATGTGCCCTGACCGGGAATCAAAACGTGAGCTCCTGGTTCATGGTCGATGTTCATTGAGCCGCACCAGTCGGGCTTATTTATGTATTTACTTATTAAATCTATAATTTTAGATTTGGCTAATGCTCTATCCATTGAGCCAAACCGGTCAGGGCTTTGTGTGTATTTTAAAAATATTTTTATTGGTTTTAGAGAGGAAGGGAGAGGGAGAGAGAGATAGAAACATCAATGATGAGAGAATCATTGATCAGCTGCTCCTGCACGCTCCCTTGGGGAGAGAGCCCACAGCCCAGGCATGTGCCCTGACCGGGAATCAAAACGTGAGCTCCTGGTTCATGGTCGATGTTCATTGAGCCGCACCAGTCGGGCTTATTTATGTATTTACTTATTAAATCTATAATTTTAGATTTGGCTAATACCCCCTGCATTCTTCACAAAAGGCAGGCATAGCCTTAGAAACCTCTCAGGTGTATAATCCCTGTCATCTGTTCATTTATTTAGCAGATAATTATTGGCACCTTCTCTGTGACTGAATAAGACACAAATCCCTGCCCTTATGGAGTTTACATTCTAGTGGGACTGGAGACAGTAGACGTAATAGATTATATCTTCTGTTAGGAGATGTTGGGCTCCACTGTCTCCTGCTGCATGGGCACCCTTTCCCCGCTCTGCCCTGCCTAGCGACAGAGAACAGATCGCCTGCTCTGTCCAATCCCTGGATGCCCCTCCCTCGGCTGCCGCCCACCCTGGTTTTGTCTTCTCACTATTCAGAGATCTCTCTACAGTGTCTCTGTAGGGGGAGGGGCACGCAGCCCGAGGCTGGGTAGGCCAGGCCCCTTGCCATGGGGGTTGTCTGGCTTCCTAGGAGCTCAGAGAAGGAATGGCCTCTACTGCTCTGTGAATGTGACTTCTTCCCTCCCCCACCCTCCCTCCTCTGGCAGGAAAATCATCAGCAACCTGTTTCTGGGCCGGGCGGGCGGCGCCACGGTGCTCTCGGGCTCCATCGCGGGCCTGGAGGGCGGCTCGCAGCTGGCGCTGCGCCGGGCCACCAGCATGAGGAAGACCTTCACCACGGGCATGGCGGCGGTCAAGAAGAAGTCCCTGTGCATCCAGATTAAGCTGCAGGTGGTGAGTCTGCCAGCCCCGCCCCGGTGCCCCTGCTCACCCCGGCCGGGAACCTGGGCTTCTGGGCACACTCAGGTCACCCAGTGCCCACTCTACGTCCCACTTTGACTTGATTGATGCTGGTGGGGTCCCCTTTTTCAGTGCTGTTGCCTGAGTGGCAACTCAGACCTGTTTTTTTGTTGTTGTTGTTTTAATAGATTTTATTGATATTTTTTACAGAGAGGAAGGGAGAGGGACAGAGAGTTGGAAACATCGATGAGAGAGAAACATCTATCAGCTGCCTCCTGCACACTTTCTGCTGGGGATGTGCCCGCAACCAAGGTACATGCCCTTGACCGGAATCGAACCTTGAGTTCACAGGCCAACGCTCTATCCACTGAGCCAAACCGGTTAGGGCTGTTGTTGTTGTTTTAAATATTTTTATTGATTTCAGAGAGGAAGGGAGTGCCAGAGAGAGAGATAGAAACATCAATATTGAGAGAGAATCATAGATCGGCTGCCTCTGCACGCCCCACACTGGAGATTGAGCCCACAACCCAGGTACATGCCCTTGACCGGATTTGAACCCGAGACCCTTCAGTCTGCAGGCCGGCACTCTATCCACTGAGCCAAACCAGCAAGGGCGGTCACTCACATCTGTGAAGGCAGAGTTATCAGGCTTTGCATGTCCCCGGCAGTGGTGAGGCGCCTGCCAGCCTGCAAGGAGTCGAGATGCTGGCACCAGTTCCCTGAGGGCCATCCCTTCTTCTTTGGCAGGACGCCCTCATTGACACCATCAAGAAGTCGAAGCTGCACTTCGTGCACTGCTTCCTGCCTGTGGCGGAGGGCTGGGCCGGGGAGCCCCGGGCCGCCTCCTCCCCCCGAGTCAGCAGCAGCAGCGAGCTGGACCTGCCTTCAGGGGACCACTGCGAGGCTGGGCTCCTGCAGCTGGACGTGCCCCTGCTCCGCGCCCAGCTTCGCGGCTCCCGCCTGCTCGATGCCATGCGCATGTACCGCCAAGGTGGGGCCTCCTTCGCTCTCAGCCTCCCTTTTCTGGACCTGCCTCTGTCCCTCCCCATCCCTCAAAGGGGGACCATGGGCCTAACAGGGTGCTGCTCCCCTCGGGTCTCCAACCCGCCCTCGATCTCTTTTCCACCCCGGTGCCTCCTCTGTGGGATCTCGACTCATCTTCCAGCCCAGCGTGCTCCCTTCTCTTTCTTTCCACTCTGCTGACTCCTCTCCTCTGCCTCTCCCTTCCATATTCCTGTCTTCTTCATCCCCCCTGCCCCCCCTACCCCACATGCCTTGTACCCAGAGCTCCATCCTTTCCCCTTCGCTGGTTTGGATGGTCACCTCTGCCCCCAGCAGCAGATGCCCTCATGGAACCATCTGCCCAGTGGAGGTACCAACCTCTAAGAGCAGGGTGGTGGCTGGGTTAGCCCCGCAGTGAGAAATGAGGTGCTAGTCATAGTTAACATCCATAGAGCACTTACGGAGTACCAGGCACTATTCCAAAGTCATCACACACATTGACTCACTTAATGTGCGGAGGCAGAGCTGGACTACCTCATGACATGTAGGTACTGTGACCATCCTCAGATGAGGAGACTGACGCTCAGAGAGGTTAAGGAACTTGCCCAACATCACACAGCCCGTGAGTGGCAGAGTGGGATTTGACCCAGGCAGACCAGCTTCCCAGTTCCTGCCTCTCAGGTAGGGCTTTGCTTGTCTGAGAAGTTAGGAATGGCCAGGTTTGTGCCCATTTCCCTCAGCGAGAGGAGCAGGCAGGGTCCCGCCCACCCACAGCCAGGTCCCCTGGAGGCCTCCCCGTGGGCACCGCCACTTTTCCTCAGCAGCCAAGCCAGGAAACGGGCTCCCTGCTCTGCTCCAAATAAATCATCGATCTGTCCCCACGTCTCGATATGGAGTTGGTGTTTATTATTTCAAAACCAGATTGTTACCGCTCTGAACAAAAATCAATGTGCTTTACTCAAACAAGCAGATCGATGAGGCCAGCAGCAGCCGGGCCCCCCTTCACTCAGCCCCCAGCCACCATCGATAGCGCTGATGATTAATTAAGATGCCTGGTGCTCGGACCTGCTATCCCGGCCCATCAATTTAATTGCAGTTCAGATACAATCAATAGCTCACTTTGTCTTGGCCCCCCCCGCGGCCCCCGCCTCCTGTTTCAATTATCAGGCACATGCATCAGCCTCATCTCCCAGTTGGAGGCTTTCCCAGAGCCAGCGAGGCTGGCACGGTGGAGAGAGCCCCCGACCGGCTGTCAGAGTTTGGGCTCCGGGTCCAGCTCTGCCTCCAGCCACAGGCTTTGTGATCTTGAGCAATCAGTCGCTCCGCCTCTCAGGCCTGTTTCCATGTCTGGGAGATGAGCTGTGTCTGGTTTAACACCTTTTTCCAGTTTGAAAGGCCATGATTCTGTAGAAGTTGGTTTCTTGGTCCTCCGCTGTGGGCTCTGGCCTCCTCGGGTGAGACCGGGTAACCTCCCGCCCGCCACCATCCTTTCCTTGCTCCAAACCGGAAGCCATCTCACCCTTGCCCTGACCGCAGGCCCAGGCAGTAAGGGCAAGAGCCACACTCAAGGGGCCAAAGAGCCGCAGGTGGCTCGCGAGCCGCAGTTTGCCGACCACTGGCCTAGGACTCAAGGTCAAGATGGGGGTAGGAAGGGAGCCTTTTCCCATGTCCTGCTTCAGTAGACTGAGGAAAGGAGCCACCAAGTGAGTCAAGCTTTCTACATATTTTCTAATTAAATGACTACCATGCAAGATACGTGGTAGGGCCTCCACTTAAAGATCAGGAAACCAGGGCTCAGAGAGGCCTAGTGACCCATCTAAGGTCACGTGATACGAGGAGCCAGGGCCAGGTTCCGCCCCCAAGCTCATGTGCTGTTTCCCTCAGCTACTGTCCAATGCCCTATTTTTATTTTTTTTTCTTATTAAGTCCTCAAGACATTGTTCTCTCTGGGTGATGACAGTCATGGCATGGAGGACTGGAAAGCGTCTTAGAGGCCATCTGGCTTTTATAGCATCCCTTCCAGGTGGTCAGCCATCCCCCATGTGCACCCCTCACGGACAGGGAACCTGCTTCCTCCCAGAAGAACCCGTTCCCCTTTTAAACCTTGTAATGCCACCGTAGGGCAGCCCTAGATGTCCTCTCGGCTTCCTGCTCCTCGCCCCTGACTCCTGCCTCTCCGCTCTCTCCTTTCCTGGGCCTGCCTCCCCCGGCCAGCTGTGTCTTCCCCTGGGGGTGACCCTCCCCGCCAGTGCCTGGGCGCGGTGGCTGTTGGAGAGTGTGGGAGCAGGGGGGGTGCTGATGGGCCTGGCCCTGGGCTGCGCTCTCTCTAGGTTACCCTGACCACATGGTATTTTCCGAGTTCCGCCGCCGCTTTGATGTCCTGGCCCCACACCTGACCAAGAAACACGGGCGCAACTACATCGTCATGGATGAAAGGCGGGTAGGTCTGGGCCCCAAGGCACCCCCCTCCACAGACCCCCTTTTCTCAGCTCAGAGCCCCCCGAGCAGCTACCCTTCCTTCCCTGGAGAGAATTGGTCTGGCCCTTGCTCAGGCTCCTGGTTCTGGCCATCCAGAATGAGACCAGGTGCAGGCGGCAGCCAGCCTGTGTCAGTAGAGAGAAGGTAGCCTGGGGAATGGACTGCAGGAATCTGAGAAGAGCCACCCTCTTTGGAGGCCTGAGGTGGGGCGTCTGCTGACAATCCTTCAGGAACACCCAGGTGCAGACGAGAGCTCATGTTTTGGTGTGCCGCTGGTAGCCCCTGGGCCCCTCAGCCTTGACCTCCACTTGGGACTAGTTCCTGCAGAGGAAGCTGTGCCAGGGTCAGCCTCAGGCCTCCCGGGCCCCTTGCCAACCCCGGGTGGGTGATTCCTGGCTGCGGAAGGGGATGTCCCCCTGCCATTCTAGGCTGTCACCTTGACCCTCTCCTGAGCAGAGCAATCCTCCCTCACTGTGCTCTGCCCTTAGGCACCCTGCCTGACTCTGAGGGCATCTGACCTCGGGATGGCTTCCCTGAAAGGGCGGGTACTCTACAGAACGGGCAGAAAGCCCCCCTCCCCTTGTCCCGAGTCACACACAGACCCACACTCGCGGAGACCCCAGAACCTTCTCTCATTCAGGGCCTGCCAGGGTCCTCGGCAGTCCTGGTGTGAATGTAGACGACCTGCCCCACAACCCCTCACTCCTCACCTTCATTCCAGCTTCCCACTCATGGCCACGCCCAGCACCTCGCCCGCCCTGGAAATGCTCCGCCTCTGACATTCCAGCCTGGCCTTCTCTGACTTCGCCTCCCTCCTGGGCGTCTCACTCCTCTCTGTCCATTGAGACCTCTCATTCCTGGATCCCACCCCATTCTCTCTACTCGGTCCATCCCCTCTCTCTTCACTTCCTTTTCCGCTCTGCCTCGAGGCCGCAGTCTAACCCTCCGGTCACAGCCTTCATCACCGTCCTCAGCTCTTCTGAGCCTCCCCTAGCACCTGCCCTGCTCCCCTGACCCTCACCCTGAAGGACCAGCCTTTGGGCATCCACACGCCTCCGTTTAGCGCTCCCAAGTTGCTGTGGGAGAAAAAGACACAACCATGTGGACTTGGAATTCCTACAGCTTCATGGTCTCCAGCCCCAACGGGGCCCTTGGGGTGGCCTGGCAAGTTTTCCGTGTGCCCCATCCTTACCCGGGCCCAATTCTAAGCTCCTCCCCTGACTCGCCATCCTCCACCTTCTCCTCTAATGCTCCCCAGCCGTGCCTTCCCAGGTCTCCTGGCCAGCGGCTGACCTGGCCTCTCAACGCTCAGAAAATCGAGGCCCCAGCTTCCTCCTCTGTCTCCTGTACCCTGCTCTTCAGGGGCCTCCCTCCTCCTGTCTGGGTGGGAGAGGCACCCTTCCCTCGTCCAATCCGTCCTCCTGTGCTTCGGACCCCATTCCCGGTGGTCTCCCTGGCGACCTGCTCCCTTGGTGGTAACTCTCCTCTCCTGTTCCTTCGGCCTCTCTCCTGCCGGCTCTTCTCTCAGTGGAGAAACATCCCACAGACGTTGCTGTCAGAAAGGAGCCTTCTGTTAACTCTCTCTCATGCCGGACCGTGGCCTGTCTCCTGCCTGCCCTGTGCCTTCAACACTTCCTCTCCTCCCGCGTCCTCCCACCCCACCGCCATTCATCCCTGCACCCACAGCTGCCTGGTTCCCCTCCCTGACACCCGTCTCCTTGGTCTCCTTGTCTCCTCCTGCACTTGGTGTTGCCAGAGCTAACGGGCACCTCTCTGTGCTCCTCCGCAGCATGTGACTCTGTGGCCAGCTCTGTTCTCTTTGAAAATCTCTGCTCAGCCTGTTCGCTGCCACTCCTGGCTTTCCCTCGTCTCTCTGTTCTTTCCTTCTCAGAACTTCTGAGCTTCCCTGCTTCCACTCGGCCCTGAAATAAAGCGCGCTCTCTCCTTTGAGACACTCTCCTTGGCCATATGTGTTTTCTCTTCTGCATCCTCTTCCAGGGCAACCGAATTCACACCCATCACTTCAGTTACCACACATATGTATTGATGACTCCCCAAATCAATAGTTCTAGCCCGGGCCTCTCTCCTGGACTCCAGACGTGCATTTTCATCCAGCTCATTTCTGGACTTCTCTACTGGTGTGCCACCGCACCTCAAACTCGGCATTTCAAACCAAACGGATTATATCGCCTCCAGAACCCACCCTTTCGCTTGTATTCTCTCCCTTAGAAAACGACACCATTGTCTGTTTCGTTACCTAAGTCAGAAACTTCAGTGTGTCCCTAGATTCCTTCCTCTCTACCCTTCCTCATACCTGGTAAGGCTCTATCTCCTGAACATCTCCTGCGTCTACCCCCCACCCCCCAACCCCCACTGCCCTTTAGGTCAGGCTCTATGTAACCTTCTCTCCTGTAGATTATTGCGGTAACTGCCTAAGGGGGTTTCCATTCACCCTCTGCCCTTCTACCAGTGATATCTCCTTAGAATGCAAATCAGATCACGTCCTTCCTGAGAGAACCCTCCAGGACCTCTCAGATCACACAGATTCCAAGTATTTTGGCTACTGCTCACCTCCCTAATTGTACCCAAACTGCTCCCACTTCACTCCAAAGTATGCTGACTACTTTTCTCAGCACATTCTGTTGTCTTCTTTTCCCAGGCCTTTGCTCATGCTAGTCTCTCTGCCTGAAATGCCCTCTCACCTACTTTGCCTTGCTAATTCGTGTATCTAAAGACTCAGTACAATCCACACCTCCTCCAGGAAGCCCTCCAGGATCCCCTTGGCTGACTTAGATGCCTCCTCCTCTACGTACTTCACTAATTCACTTGTCTCACAACACCCAAAAGATAGCTTGTATCCTTATAGCCCCAGAATCTAGTAAATGCCTGACCCTGTGGGAGCCACCGAAAGTGCTTGGTGCACAAATGAGGGACTGAGTGGAGGACAGGGAAGGACTAAGTGACTGGGCGGGGCCCTCTGTGGATGGGGAGTCCCTGGGTCGGCTCCTGACAGAGACCCCTCTCTCTGCAGGCGGTGGAGGAGCTGCTGGAGTCCTTGGACCTGGAGAAGAGCAGCTGCTGCATGGGCCTGAGCCGGGTGAGTTGTCCCCACAGGAAGGCGGTCGGGCCTCCCTCTCTGGTCACCCTTGTCCACATGGCTGGCCCTCCCTCATTGCCCTCCCTGCTCAGTCTTACTCCAGGAATCTCCTGGTGCCCCTTCTGAGTCTTGGCCCCTGAGTCTTGGCCCCTGAGCCCACTTATCCACCGCCCCAGCCACTCTGGGGCCGTCCTTCCTCTCCAGCTGCCCTCATTAGGGCAAGGGGCCAGGAATTTAGATATTCCAGCTGCCGCAAACTTGATTTTCCTCCCTCTGAATAACTGGCTTGTTCACTGCCGTGAACACCTTGTGATGTCAGGAGGGAGTGGGTTGGAGAGTGGCCCTGAACTTGCCCTGGGTCCTGGTGTGGGGAGTGGGCAAGCCAGAGGGAAGAGGGCTAGAAGAATCGGGAAGGCAGTAGGCAGAGTTCTCCGGAGGGCAGAGACCCCTCTGGCAGCTCGTTTGGGGCTGCCAGGGTCCCAGGAGGGCAAGCAGGACATGGTAATGCTGTGCTGCCACCCCCTGCCCACGGGCCGAATTCCTCATCTGAATGGAACGTAGCACATGAAAGGCAGGCACGCCCGCCCCGGGTGCCAGTCTGCTGCTTCACCACACGAGAGGGTCAGCTGAGCATTCCT